AAAAGGGACTCACACCCACCTATCTGAGGCACAGTGACCTCCTGAGGTCTGAGACTTTCCCTAATAACCACTGCCACCCCACCCCCTGCCATGGGCTCTCGGCTGGTGAAACACCCAGAAGCCTGGTGGGCATAATTCACTAAGGGGAACACCCCCCTCATGGCCCAACCAGGTCTCCGTAATGCACGTCAGGTCCGCTCTACCCTCTTGTATGAGGTCGTAAATGAGGGGAGCCTTATGTACCACAGACCTAGCGTTAAGCGAGACCAGCCGGAGACCAGGGTCCTGTAATCCCGAGCACCCGGGAATGCGAGAAGGGCGATGAGGGTTGGAATGCACGATCGCTCTTAAACAGCGAACCCGTGTCCCCTGAACATAATTTGGCCCTTGGCCCCCACCATATCTACCTCTCCCACAAACAGTAGAGATGGTAACCCCCCCTCAATGGAGTAGCTTAATGTCTCCCCTGGAATCCCAACCCTTCCCAGCACTCCCGACCCGCGCCCATTAGTTAGCTCTGGCCTTTGCCCTGGCAGACGGTCCCCCCAAGCCTGTCTGAGCCATCCGAATCAACCCCCCCACCCCCTCCTAAAATTTGGTTTAAAAACCAAACCTAAGAAGTATCTTCTTCGCATGCCACCTCTCGGGATCGCAAGATCCGTCATTAAGGAAATGTCTTGATAGGCAAGAAGGCCATCCTCAGGAAAGGGGGAGTTCCCGAAGGGAGTAAAGTTCTGTTGCAGTATAACATAGAGGAGAGTGTGGCATCAACCAAACGGGATGACATCATGGGGAGATGGAACGAGGAGATGACATGTCCACGGGGGAGGGGGCAGCCAACAGTGTTCAAGGGGGTAGCGGGAAGCTTATGTCCATCATAGCAATGGTCAGTGTTAAGGACAATATGTAGGACTAACAGCCAGATGTCAAAATCGCAGCAGATGGTAAATTACAAGGTGGTGAAGTGGCCAGTGATGGTGGCGGTGAGGACAGTGGCGGCAGCTGCGGCTGCTCCAACAACTTCAACAACTCCAACAGCTAAGCTCTGTCCATGCCAGCCACACTGATATCCGTCGCCAAGGCCGCACACCGTTGACCCAGCCCATAGTGTCACAAGCGGAGGACCAAATGGCCAAATAACACATTACGGTGGCCCAGGCAACGGCAGTGATACTGGAGGGGGCCACAACGAAGGAACCCCCCCACTCCAACCATGCCCACACCAACTACCGAAGTCATCTTCCGCTGGTGTCAATATCCATGCCAGCTGCCTCAGCCACTCCCTGCTGATCCAGTCTATCACGTCCATAAGTAAGTTGGAAAGGGGGTGGAGGGGGGGAGCAACCTAGATAACACCATGGCATGGGGAGCGGCAACTGCAGAGTCCTCAGGCTGGGCATCCCGTCGCCGGTGCTGACCACACCCACGCCGGCTGCAGAGACCCCAGGCCGAGCATCCCGCTGCCGCCATTGACCACACCCACACCGGCAGCCGCCAACACTCTCCATTCTCCTTTCACCGCCAACCGCCCTGTTTCACTCACAACATTCCACCTACAAGGCAGGAAATCGCAGCTCAAGGGTATCCCCAAGGTCCCAGGAAGTTCTCATAGATAGACCTGGAACCAATGATGGGATAGGGTACCCCCTGCAAGCCCCGAGAAGGACAATCATCTCCCCAAAGCTCTCCTCAAACACGACAGGACACCATCTTGGGCATGCGCAGTAAGATTTACCTGGCTGTACAATACAAAAGTCCTCCCTGACCGAAAAAGCTGCCAGCTCCGAAATTCTGCAAGCCGAAGTGATAGTGATAAGAAAGGCAGTCTTAAAGGATAAATGCCGGAGACTAATGGAATGGATCGGTTCGAATGGAGCCAATCAATAAATCCCAAGTTGGGTATCGGTGTATAGGCGGAGGACCGAGATTGGTAGCCCCCTTCAGAAAGCTGCGAACACTGGGATGCCTGCTAAAAGGTTGAGAAGTGTCTCTGGACAAGTTGGTGGCTAAGGCAGCCGTCTGTCACCGAAGAGTGTTGGGTGTGAGAGACCCTTGTCCAACCCCTCCTGGAGAAAATCCAGAATTTGTGGGATTGTCATCATGGTGGCGTCGATGTGGTGAGAATGGCACCAAGATGTAAAGATAGTCCATGCAGCGTCATAGATTTGGACCATGGAAGGTCGCCTGGACGCCTGGATGGTATGGATGACCTCGTCAGAAAATTTGTCCTGCCTCAGGAGGTCCCCCTCAAGTGCCAAACAGCCAACTGGAGCCATTGAGGATCCGGATGAGGGATGGCCCCTTGGCTGAGGGAAATCTGCTCCTGATGTATGCGCCAATGTTTGTCACCGAAAGACTGACAAGGTCGGCATACCAGAACCTTCTTGGCCAGCAAGGTGTGACCAGTAGAACTTCTGCTCCCTCTGTCAGGATTTTTCTGATCACCTGAGGTATCAGAGGGAGAGGCAGAAAAGCGTAAAAGAGGCCGGGAGGCCAGCAGCAGCGAAGAGCATCTGTTCCTTCTGCACCAGGGCACTGGAACCACGAGAAGAACTGGGGGATGTACATGTTTTCCGGACTGGCGAAGAGGTCGATCATCAGAAGGCCAAATCTCTCAGATAGCTGGCATAACAGAGATGGGTGAAGTCACCATTCCAAGTTGCTGATGGTAGTTCTGCTTAACCAGTCCGCGATCATGCTGTCCTCCCCCGAGATGTGGTCTGCTTTCAATGACTCGAGGTGACACTCCGCCCATCACCCTAGAGCCTCTGCCTCTAACATGAGAGCCCTCGATTGAGTCCTGCCCTGGTGGTTTATGTGGGCTTTGGTGGCAATGTTGTCTGTTAGTATTAAGACGTGGAGCCCTTCGATGTGCTTGTGGAAATGACGCAGGGCTAGTCTGGTGGCTCTGAGCTCCAGCCAGTTTATGTTGTGAGAGATCTCCGCTCGCTACCACCTGCCCTGTGTCATGTGCATTTGCAGATGGGGGCCCCCGCCATATAAATTGCCATCTGTTGTTATGATGAGACACTCTGGATCCTTGAAGAAGGACCCCCTTCCTCAATGCTGCCAACTGCCACCACCTGAGCGATCGAAGCACCCTTGGGGGCACTCGTACCACCCTCTGGGAATTGCTGGCAATTGCTGGCTTTGCACCTTTGAATTGGAAGAAGGAACCACTGAAGTTCCTGTGCATACAATCGTGCCCAGGGAACTACTGCAATGCACGAGATCACTTTCCCCAACAATTGGGATAGAGACACGATGGAAGCCAACTTGGATGCACGGACCCATCGTACAAGGGATGTAATGCTGTTCACCCACTCCTGCGTGAGAAAGACTTTGTGGAGTTGATCACCCTGCTCAGGTGTTGGATTCTGGAGGTTGGCGACAAGTGGATTTTCTCCAGGCTGAACGAGAATCCGTGCCTTCGGAGCGTGCAAATGGTGGTGTTGAGGTCTCGATGTGCTTGCGCCATGGACAACGCCTATATCAGGATGTTGTCCAGGTAGCACTGGAGCCTCACTGGATGAGAGTAGAAATCCGCTGCGACTGCGGCGAGAAGCTTGGTAAAAGTCCCGTTGACAGGCAGAAGAGTAGAGCTTTGTACTGATGATGTTTGTCTGCAAACTAGAACCTCAGGAACTTGTGATGCGCTGGGTGAATGGGAACATGCAAGTACGCCTCCTTCAGGTCAATTGACATCAAGAAGTCGTCTTTCCTGATGCTACCCAATATGGTCTGAAGTCACTGCATTTTGAAGCGCTTGTATGCAAGATGGATGTTAAGTTTCTTGAGGTGCTGTATAGCTCTCCACCCTCCCAAGGACTTTGGGACCAGGAAGAGGATGAAGTAGAATCTCCTTTGCTCTTGGCCCACAGGAACCTGCTCAATGGCCGCTATGTCCAGTAAATGTCAGATCTCTGACCGCATCAGTTGACTTTTGTGGTCGGATTTCGGGATTGGGCACTGGACAAATGTCTGCGGAGGAATAGAGAGGAAGTCTAGGGTGAGGCCGTGACGGACGGTGTTCAGGACCCATGCGTCCGTCGTCGTCGCCTCCCACTGGGCAGCGTATAGTTGGAGACGCCAGCCTATGGGAAGGGACTGATGATGGTCACTTATTTCTATGAAAGGGGCAGTTGGAAAACCCCCTCGAAAGGGCCTGCTGTTGTCTGCCCTTGACCCGAAACAATGCCCTATCGTGGGAGTGATCCTGCATCTGGGGATAAGACCGGTTAAATCCCACAGAGTTGGCTGGAGGATCTACATTCTGAAAGGGCTGCCTATGAAAATAAGAGTGGCCCTTGCAATCCGACTTCCTGGTAACAGATGGTAAGAGCTTGCATTTATCCTTGGATTCTATTAAGACTGAATCCAAGGCCTCCCCCAAAAGCTTTCCCCTTTGAAGGGAGCGGAAGGAAGCTTCCACTTCGACTTCATGTCCACCTGCCAGTGGCGGAGCCAAAGCAGATGGCGCGAGGTCACATTGGAAGCTAGAGCTCTTGAAGAAAATTTGGTGGCATTGAGTGAAGCATCTGCCGAGTATTCGACTGCTGCAATAATTTTGTTGACATCCTGTTGCAACCTAATGTTGCCAGCTGGCAGTTTGGATTGCAATTTACGCAGGCAGAAGAGGGATGCTCTATTGAAAAAGGAAGAGGAGGAGGTAGCTCTCATGGCCCACGCAGTTGACCCAAGCTGTGCCCACTGATGCTAGATAACATCAAGGAAAAGCTGAGGGGCTGGTACCAATTCCTGGGGTGGGGTGGTTTCTTTGAAAATGCTGGCACTTGGATCCTGAGATCCAGTGGCCTCCTTATTGCTTTGCTCTGGGGTGCCCATCTGGGTGGATGCTCTGGCCTTGGTGAGGATAGCCTTTAACATCGAGGATTTGAATAACTCTGAGAAAGCAAGCTTGTCAGGGACTGGATTTTTGTCCTCCCGATAAATCTGGGGCCTCCTGTCTACCCTCCTCCACTTTAGACTCCTTGCTAACAGCAGAAGAGACAGAAGATGAGGACCTGCCTGCCTGGTTCTTGGAACGTGTGCCCTAGATCTAGATCGGCCCTGGCGAGGCAGTAACCCAGCTGCTTTATACCCTTAGCAATACCCTGAGATCTCACGCTTGCGATGACCTACTTCATTTCATTGGAAAGATTATGGCCCTGGTCCTCAGCGGGGCAACGGCCCCTGGTTCGAAGATTAGTGGACGGAAAGTCCCTCCTCCTCAATGAGGGACAGGCGTAATGCACTGAATCTTCAACCAGGGACGGGCTGAGGGATCTAGGGTACACCCTGGATGGGTTGGGCGATAGATCAAGATCCCCTTCCTCCACCAGGGATGGTGAAATGTCTCGATGAACACCCAGCAGAAGCCTCCGCAGGCAGAAAAGGAGGCCTGGCAAGCCTTTGGGCTTTTTGGAATTGTTTCTCCAGGGCCCTCTGGCGTCTCTCTGCTATCTTTTCAGCGGCCTTAGACACCTTCTTAGGTTTGGGCTGTTTTCCCTTTGGTGGATGCCTAGCACCCTCACTCTTCCCAGCAGGCCCGGGCCTGCTATGCTTACTGGTGGAAAGACCTGCTTGTTCAATATCCTCGGCTGTGCTGGTGGATGCCATTGCTAGAGGATCAGGGCAGAATAAATTTCTTCGCCTCTGCAGGACTGTTGTGCAATGTAAATTGCAACCAGTCAAATGAGTCCAAGATGGTTATGTCTCTGCCCTGGAGTGATTTAAGGGCTCAAGCAGAAACAAAATGGCATCTAGCGGAAATGTCCAGAGCGCCTGCAGATCAGCACCCAAATTAAAGCAGGGTATGGCCAAGACAGATAGCCAAACACTCTGCAGCCACTCAGAATGTTCTTCTTGGGGAGGGGGAGACCTGTCTGGAAGCCTGAAGCAAGGTCTGCAGAGTTAACACCCCTCCCAGCGACGATCTGCTCTTGGAGGCAGGCAGCGGTGATGCAAACAGCCAGAAGAAATTTGTGCCAAATTCAAAAGGTCCAAAATGGCCACCATGCGGCTCAGAATGACACTGGGGACTGTCGGCAATCTGGAGAGCTCTTAGGAGTCTCCAGAACAAGAATTAAGCCCTCCAACAGTGTTTGGGGCACTCCTAGGCTACCTACCTGCCCCCAGGCTCATCAGCAGCGGCTGAACGAGCCCCCCGCGGTGTGCCTCAACCGTGATGATTGCGGAAGGCAGCTTTGCTCCGAGTAGCCTCAAGCTGAGGGGAAAAAAATTTTCAAACTGCAAGGGAACCTAAACTATCAGACTAACAACAAAAATAACAAAGGCTACCCTATACTAGACTGTTTGGAGACTCCAACCTGTTGCTCAAGGACTGGAACTCCCCAACTGCGTCCTTTTAGGGCAACTGAGTTTTTTAAACTGGCCTCTAAAAGGACCAGGAGGTGTGGCTACACAAACTTTAAACTCAGTCCATGGGCAGCAAGCTGAAATTAACCCATGCTTGGACTCTCCAAGCAGTGCCTAGGAGAATAATGTTAAGAGCTGCAATTCTATGTGCTGCACAGTTTTTTTATTCCACTGTCAATTTCTACTCCTGAAGTACATAATATAAAGAGTTGGGTTCAGTCAGGGTGGAGCTACATATTAATCTATATAGACTTGTGAGAAACGTTTTAGAAAAATGTATTGTTAGGTCCAATAATATGTTTAAGCTCATAAAAGCAAAAAAAGAAACTTAAACGGAGGCTTGAGAAAGAATCAGTTTTTATTCTATGATTGTAGGTTAGCCATTTCAAACACACACAAGAGGATATGAAGAAAGAGCTACAAATTTCAGAGAAGATGTAACCCCTTATATATTGTTTAGAAACCTTATAAAACCATCAGTTAAATCTCCAATAACTATCAATCAAACTTCCAATTCTGGCATCTTGGATTTGTGTATTCCCTGAACAGGATAGAGCCTCTTAATTAGCATCATTAGAGTTATCTCTTCCTGATCATCTTCTTTGTGTTTACAATTGGCTACTTAGCCCTCTGTTGCAAGGAAGGGAATTCTCACAGAGGAAAGGCATGGGTTTTTTTACAGTTCCATTCCATTCTGTGATACATTCTGTATCCATAGATTGCAGAAGATTGATAAGAGTTCAAATGGCAAGGAATATACGTTTTAACAAACACCAGTTGTTCTGTTGCAGGAAATCTGATGTAGCATATTTGTGTTATAAATCCAAAGGTATATTGCTAGATACATAATGCTATTTACAAGAAATACAAATCCAAAGGTATACGAAAGCATAATATATGTTTTACAGGAAACAACAAGTTCCTACTAATTCTAGTATTCCAGTATATTGTATTCTAGTACATCTTTATTATTATTTCCCTTCAGTAAGATATTTGAGTAACCTAACAATAAAGTGTGAACCAAGAAATGGGTTGGCAGGAGGCATCCCTGCCTCAACAGCTATAACTACATGTAACTACAAAAGAAAAGAGGTTCAGTGGTAGTTTTGTTGAAGTGACTAAAACAAAAAGTCTTCAGCATTTTAAAGACCAAAAATAGCTAGCTAATATTTGGGGCAGAGAGGAGGGAGGGGAGAGTCAGAAATTCTAAGGAAGAAAGATTTAGATATGCCCCAATTGACCCAGCCTATCCTAGAGAAATGCTAAGTTATTATGCATAGAGATGCTATTTCAGGATGCCCACAATGAGATTTTCCAGCTGCAGACCATATTCTATCAAGTACAGTAAGACTCTATTAGGAAAAATACAATAGGAACTTTGCTTCACCCAGGTTCTGAGAAAATAACTCCTCATTTCAATGCAAAACAGCAGCGCTTATTAAATACCTCCTTGAAGGAAAAGAAGGAGAATACTATAGAAGGAAGGGGAAATGATGGAAATGAAGAGACAACAAAGACTGAGATGGGGGAGGGCAAAAGACATATCAGCAATGAAAGTACCTTTTTGAGATTAATCCACTGTTTGAAGTAATCAGCAACTGGAAGCCCTAAGTACTGGCATTGTCCAGGTAACCTGTAAGAAAAAGAGCAGGTGGTTTCAAGAAGAACAATCAAAGTACCCAAGGAGAAAGGAGAGATAATGGAATGTACCATCTGTATTTTAGCTAAAACCTCAGTCTTCTTAGGAGTACGTGTCTCTCTAGTTGAGACGTCCCCAACCTTTTCTGAAAGCTAGGCACATCTGACGTTCTGAAAACAAATTATTATTAAGCAAAGAAATACGGTTGCCTCAAGGTGTTTGCCTATTCACAAATTGGCTACCATTATGGGTGGGCAATCTCTCTAGTCCTTCAGATATTTGTTGTGAACTTACTATTGTATTTAAAATTAAACATTAATTGTTCTATAAAAGGTAGAATAGAACAATGGGGAAAAAAGAAAACTATTTGGTAAATAGTTGCACAGAATTTAGGTGCACAGAAATATTTCTGTGATGATCAATCCTCTTTAATGGCACAATTTCTCCCCCAACCCCATTCCTTCATTGGAAAACAAATACAACTGCTGTTCAAAAATACAAAATAATTAAAATGTAGTTATAATGCAAATTACAGAAATATAAATAATATTTTAGAAAAACCATAAAAGGAAAAAACTGGGTTAAATCAGATGGAACCAACAGATCATAGATTTCTCCCCCTCCCCTCAAAAATCTTCTTTGTGTTAGCCCCAATATATATTAACATGGTTATAAACTAGTGGATCATTTACCAGCAGTGCCAACTCCAAATAAATCCTCATATTTGTCTCAATTTTTAGGAACTAAAAGATAAACAAATTGAAAACAATTACAAGTATTTTGGGAGTACTTACAAAATATATTTGTTTTCTTATTTGTCTTTAAAGAGTAATATATGTAACATATATGTGTCATTTCATGTGCCAGAATTCACCATTTACAATGATACACAGCCCCACAGATATTATGACAACTCTCTATATTTGTTTTATGGCTTGCAACAGATACTTTCTTGTGTCATACAATCTCTTTATTGACTAATAGATGTACTCAATGAAATGAGTTGTAAAATGACTTTTCCCACAGTTATCACTCAAAATATTTTGCATTAGTCTGAACAGAGTATTTAAAGTTAATGGAGGTAAATACACAAAGCCACAATGCTAAGTAGCAGGTTTTTGAGGGCGAAGGAGAAGCCATTCAACCCAGTAATGCTGGGGGGCTGAGGAAAAGATTCATCTTGAATTATCCTTTGTTTCTTTAAAGTTTAAATACCCTCCTCAGACTTAACACCTCTTAGAATTAAGATCATCAGAAAAGAGTTTGCCAGAACAAGCATATGTAGGCAAGGCACAAACATTTAGCATTCTACAATATGAAACACAGTTCTCCTATTTCTGTCTTTAAAAGCAAACAAAAGGGGACAAGAACTGAACTTTGGGATCCAGGTCAATATACCTGCTACATAACCCATAACACACATTCACATATACAGATTTCCGCTGCTGGTGGAGAAAAGAATGGACATTGCGGCCATTAGTTTAGAATGTAAATTCATTTATACTCAATCAACTTGATTGATATGGGGTAGTTAACAGGTCGTATTGCTTATTAATGCTTTGCTAAAGATTTTTAGATATGCTTTGAATGCTGGATTGGGTATGAATTAGGTGGCTATAGGAAAGACCAAAAATTAATTAAATAAGTGATTAATAGATTCATTTACACATGGTAATTACTTCAATCCAAGCAATTGGATATGCAAATCAAGCATGCTCTTTACACCCGGCACTTTGATGTAAACTGTGCTCCTTAAACTGATTTTTTTTCCAGAAAAAAAGGAGGGAGAACAGATTGGACAAGGCAGAGTCAGTGAAGAGACAGTACTTTACCCAAAAAGGTAATATATCCTTCCTTTACGTATCTTATCTACAGTCTTAAACTGTGTTGATGTACAATTCAAATCATCCACAGACAACATACCAAAAGACTGCAATGAAGCAGGATTGGTTCAGCATATCTGGAGGATATCAGGTTGGGAAAAGACATCAAATGGCCTGGTTAGCATAAGCAAAATAAAACAGTAATTTTCCTGTTAAATGTCCATTACCTCCGCTCTACAGTTAAGCAAGTACTAACATTTAGTTACTTGAAGAAGTGTGTGGTGGCTCAGTGGCTAAGATGCTGAGCTTGTCTATCAGAAAGATTGTCAATTTGAATCCCTAGCACCGCATAACGGAGAGAGCTTCTGTTACTTGTCCCAGCTTGTCCCAGAGTCCCTAGGGAGTGGGCGGCATACAAATCTTATTAAAGTTGCAAAGTTGCAAAGCTTCTGCCAATCTAGCAGTTTGAAAGTATGTAAAAATGCAAGTAGCAAAATAGGAGCCACCTTTGGGAAGAAGATAACAGCATCCCATACGCCTTTGGCATTTAGCCATGCCACCCACATAACTACGGAGATGTCTTCAGACAGCGCTGGCTCTTTGGCTTTGAAATGGAAATGAGCATCGCCCCCTAGAGTTGGGAATGTCTAGCACATATGTGCAAGGGTAACCTTTACCTTTTTAACATTTAGTTTCACTGAATTAAGAATTATGTGTTTCTGAGTGACATAAGTGGATATGTTTCTTTCCTTAATACAGAGATGAGGAACATGCACACCTCCAGTCCGTGTATAAAGTCCTTGGGCTTTTCCTGATCAAAACTGTCAAAAAGTAGTGATAATATTTTCTGTCATTTGAATCAGGAAACACTTCAAATCCACATTATAAGCCCACCTGTAACCTTAACAGAACTAAAACCTCCACCCAGAAAAACAAAAGCAAAATAATTGGCCTACCAATTTACATCATCACCTCACTTATTGAATAAAGCTTAAGGCTGAGAAATGAAAAGGAACACAGTTTTCCATACACTGAGTCAAACTTCTTATTTTCTGAGACAAAATGTGTAGATGGCCACCAACATAGATGACTTTAAGAGACAGTTAAGCAAATCCATGGAGAATAATACTACAGACAGCTTATTAGATACTACTTATATATGTCCCAAAGGTGCTTTTTCAAGAGGTAACTGGACTTTCTGATTTTTCTTTAAAGATGTTTTGCTTCTCATCCAAGAAGCTTCTTCAGCTCTGAGAAGTGAAATATCTTCAAAGAAAAACCAGAAAATCCAGCTGCCTCTTTAAAAAGCATCTTTCGGACAACCATGGCCTGGACCTGAATCTCCATAGACATTTAGTACTTACATAATCAGTGAAATATTGTACCAGTTCCTGGGAAACGCTAGTACTGTATAATGACATTATATTGTTGGACCCATTAGCATTTCCATTCTCACTATGGAGACAAAATATCTATGCCATTGACACAACCTGTGCCACTGATTTCTTATTATTTTCTTATTTATTTATTTATTATTATTATACAATTGTATCACAGCGGCCAGTTGTTTCGCCGGATTTGGCATTGGTTACTAGTCGGGCCCCACCCAGGGGCCTA